TACAGTGGTGCCTCGCAAGACGAAAAGAATCCGTTCCGCGAGTCTCTTCGTCTTGCGGTTTTTTCGTCTTGCGAAGCAAGCCCATTAGCGGCTTAGCGGGCTTAGCAGATCAGCTGATAAGCAGCTTAGCGGATCAGCTGATAAGCGGCTTAGCGGATCAGCTGATAAGCGGCTTAGCGGATCAGCTGATAAGCGGCTTAGTGGCTTAAGGGATCAGCTGTTAAGCGGCTTAGCGGATCAGCTGATAAGTGGCTTAGTGGCTTAACGGATCAGCTGTTAAGCGGCTTAGCGGATCAGCTGTTAAGCAGCTTAGCGGGTCAGCTGATAAGCGGCTTAGCGATCAGCTGTTTAGCGGCTTAGCGGATCAGCTGATAAGCGGCTTAGCGGCTTGGGAAAAGGGGGGGGAGGAAAACCCCCCCGCAGGAACTCGCAAGACATTTTCGTCTTGCGAAGCAAGCCCATAGGAAATCCGTTTTGCGAAGCACCTCCAAAACGGAAAACCCTTTCGTCTAGCGGGTTTTCCGTCTTGCGAGGCATTCGTCTTGCAGGGCACCACTGTACTGGAGTTCTGTCAACCCAGACCGTCATTGGGGGGTGGAAAATGGCCCTGGAACAGCAACCTTCAGATGCTGGAGATGAAATCCTGCTGCTGGGAACACAAACGCTCAGGCACTGCAGGATTAGACCAGCAATGTCAGCTGATGGGCGGGAAGGTGGGCGTTTGCTTGATAGGAAATGGCCAAATTGGATGCCCTGCGGGTCGGAGGTTCTCCACCCCTGTTCTGCCTCATGTCCTCAGTGCTACTCAGGCTGAGGAAGAGGAGCGGCGGGTGGGAGCAAAGGGCCTTTCTCTGCAGTTTGGCTCTCTGTTAGCCGGACTCAGAGCGGCTAACAACAATAAAAGTAACACAGCATTCTAAAATCAATTCATTCTAAAATCTATTCAGAATCAAATTAATGGCAACCACTGGGCTATAGTGCTATGAGGATTACCGAAGGAGGGGGTCAGACTGTGCCTTGGCCCAAGGCCTGGTGGAACAGCTCCGTCTTGCAGGCCCTGCGGAAAGATGTCCAAGTCCCGCAGGGCCCTAGTCTCTTGGGACAGAGTGTTTCACCAGATCGGGGCCACAGCCGAAAAAGCCCTGGCTCTGGTTGAGGCCAGCCTAACCTCCCTGTGGCCTGGGACCTCCAAGATGTTTTTGTTTGAAGACAGTAAGGTCCTCCGTGGGTCATACCAGGAGAGGCGGTCCCGTAGGTACGAGGGTCCTAGGCCGTATAGGGCTTTAAAGGTTAAAACCAGCACCTTGAACCTGATCCTGTACTCCACCGGGAGCCAGTGCAGCTGGTATAGCAGCGGGTGAATGTGATCTCACAGCAAGGACTCCGTAAGGAGTCTCACCGCGGCATTCTGCACCCGCTGGAGTTTCTGGGTCCGTCTCAAGGGCAGCCCCACGTTGAGTGAGTTACAAAATGAGTTTTCCATGAGGATCTTGAGGTCATTAAGCACCGGGGAACCCGGCTGGCAGGCTTGTAGCACCCACTGCCCTCTGCTTCCTGTGGTTGCAAACAGAATGCCACCTCGATGTCAAGCTGATCACAGATATTTGGGGCCGGATGGCATCTCTCCTTCGCAGGCAGTCCAGGTGCTTGCCGTTCCGCTTAAAAGAAAACCCAGCGGTGATCTTCCTTTCCCCCCTCGTTTCCACGCAGGCCGGCTGCATGTACGTCCACGGAGGTGTGGTGGACATCCAAAGGAACAAACGGACTGGCTCTCTCTTCAAGATGTGGCTGGTAGTGCCCAGCCTCTTGGAACTGTCTTGGGAGAAGCTTCTGGGGTTTTTCCCCCACTTAGCAAACCTCACCAGATCGCAGCTTTTGCACCTTGGACTTACACAGGGACTCATCGAGCGCTTGAAATGAGAAAGCACCTGCTCTTCAAACACTACTTTTAAAAAAGCGACTCCTCTCGCCCCTCTCTTTTCTCTCCCTCTCCTCTCTCTCTTTCTCCCTCTCCTTTTCTCTCTCTATTTATGAGCACTGCGGAGGATTGCTGCTAGGAGATGGGACGACGCCCGACTCCAAAGCCTTACTCGGCAAATATACATCAGATGCCTTTTTTTCTTCTTCTGTGAATTTTTATTTTAAAGTTTATGGAAGTCAAGCTTTTTTTGTTTTTAATTTATGGATACCTATAAATACATCATGAACGAAAGACGCTGTCGCTCCGCTGATTTGTACTGCTTTTGCTGCATGCTTTGTAGTCGCAGGAAGGCAAGGCGGACAGCGTGACGCAGTCTCTCCTAGTTACTGTTCTGTAAGATGGCCGTAACTTGCAGCAGTTTCGAAAGGGGAAGGCTGGCTGCTCACACGGGAACCCATCATAGTAGCTCTTGCCACATCCCTTGCCTCTCTCTCTAAAAAAAGGCCTAAATGCGAGCTGGCTTTCTCTGATCTGTCTTCTTACAGATGCTGCAGTTTGGAAAGACCGGCGCCTTGTGTTCTGACTTTCTGAAACGCGTGTCATTTATTGCCTTTTCATATTGAACTGCCCAGTCCAAGACTGGTTTACTTCCATGTGTCTGGCTGGCTTCAGCGCAAGAGTTTATCCTGAATGGTGGCAGGAAAGGGATATAGAGAGCTGCCCGAGACAATGAAGGAGTTAACAGGGAAAGAGAACTGTGAATAAGCCGATGCTATTTTTTCTTTCTCCTGTCGCAAGTGTGTGTATGTGTGTGTTTGTGTGCATGAGAGAGAGTGTAAGTGAAGGAGGATTTGGAAACTCATGCTCTGTGCAATAGCTGTTATTATCTGCTAGTTTTTCTTACGTAGATAGGGGGCTTTCCTCTGCTGGCCTCCCCACTTCCTGCTTCCACCCCTTGCAAGTTGGTTTGTTTTAAAACCCCATTCTATGGCCTGTCTTTTTCCTCCGAAACAAAAAATCTTCGTATTAACTGGTCCTTCATTTGCAGGAAATGCCATGTTGTCACTGCTGCGTTTCTGTTCTTCTTCTTTAGCATAGGCAAAATGCCTGACATTTTGCTGTGGACAGTATTTGCCTTTTAAAAAATAATGCTGGAAAAGGAAACCATGTCTGTGTCTTAACTGTTGTGTTCCAAATGGCTGCGGAAATGTTCTGTAGAATGTATACCAAAACAGCCGTCAAACCAAGCATACCTTAGCCTGAGAAACTGGCTTTTTAATTTTAATTTTTTTAAAAAAAAACCAACAACAACACTGTACATGAACTATTATTGGTAGTCCTTGTCAAGTTGTCTTCTTTAAAATTCTGGTGGGAGTATCACAGCTTTCTTTGGAAGTGGATAGGAGCTCAGTGCTGTTAATTTGCTCAATGCTCAATGCAAGGTTAATTTGCCTGGGCTGGATCGGTCCCTCAGAGATTCCTCCGTGGGTCAGATCGCGTGCGCAGCTGCGATTTCCAGCGGCTGCGCAGACGCGATTTCCGGCTTCAGAAGCGAGTCCCTGTGCCACGCTGCGCCAGTTTAGTGCCGCGCACTGGGACTCACCAAGCAGGTGGCTCGGTTCTGGGGTGGCTCGTGGGCCGCAGGTTGGCGATCCCTGCTGTACAGTATTCCCATGTAGCATCAAACCATAGATCTCATTCCCTGTCCCCCCTCCTCATGATCCAGGATTTCCAATTCTGATTTAGCAGCAAGCTTTCATTGTGTCTCAACATTTGAGTAGCCGGGACCATGGTTTGCCGTTCCCGCCAAACCATGGTTTTCAGTTCTAAGTTAGCAAATGTAAGCCATTCTTGGCTGTTGGGACACTGAGGCAGACCGGCTCCCTGCTTGACCAGGATTGTCAAGTCCTGGATTGTGGAATGCAAGAGGTTTATGAGCTCCCCTTTCCTCGAGCACGTGGCACTAAGCCATGGTTTGTTAGGCAGGTGTGATGGGATGATGAGCTGCTTGTGCGTAAAATCGTATCCCCTCAGAGTTTGTTCAAGTCCACAAACCTCTGTCTGTGACGGAGCCCCTCAGACATGGCTCCTCTAGTCACTAGCAGATTCCGACAGTGGTTGCTTTCGGAATCGCTTCCAACATAAAAGCTCCTTAACGGAAACACGTCTTC